GAAGTCAGGCCAGATTCATCAGAAAAAGAGGTCAAAGATAAGACTATTGACTAGAGCTGAAAGTACAGAGGGGCTAAGGAGACCCAGAAGTACACTCAGCCTTGCAAACAAGACTTGACTCAAAATAATGTTAGTACAGTGGCAGATAGGATGGCCCTGCTCAAGGAAAAGAACATTACTTGGAACCACTACCTTTTGTAAGAAAAATCTTCAGAACTTACTAGTAAATTACTAGATATATCAAAGGATGAGATCACATAATGGAAAACCAAGAGAAAACAAAACATATAATAGAAATACATCTACAAATATATAATAGAAAAATATCTACAAATGTTCTACAAAAGACTTTTGAAGTAACTATGATTAAAGTATTTAATAAATCTAAGGAAAGATGAAGAAAATGAAATAGATAAGAAAATTTCCCAATGTAGAATGTATAAGACATACACATCCTAGAATTAAAAGTACTTTATGTCTGGTATTAAGAACTCTAGTTGGTTTAACAGAAGAATAGAAGTAAAAATAGAGATAAAAGTACTGATTGAGATAGAATAGAGATAAAAGTACTGATCGAGAATATATCCAGAGTGGGCACGGTGGCCCACGCCTGTATTCCTAGCGCTTTGGGAGGCCGAGGTGGGCTGATCACCTGAGGTCAGGAGTTCGAAACCAGACTGACCAACATGGTGAAACCCCATCTCTACTAAAAATACAAAAATTAGCTGGGCATTGTGGTGGATACCTATAATCCCAGCTACTCAGAAGGCTGAGGCAGGAAAATCACTTGAACCTGGGAGGCACAGGTGTAGTGAGCTGAGATCGTGCCACTGCACTCCAGCCTGGATAACAGAGCAGGACTCTGTTTCCAAATATATCCAAATGGAAGAAGGGAAGACAAGATGGGTGAAATGTATATGAAATTCAGAAAAAAAGAAGAGTCAGAAGGGAAACAGTTAAAATGTCTAGCATAACTAATTTAAGAGGAAATGATAGATTAGGACAAAGCAATATTTGCAGGAGTAAAACAAATTATTTCCCAAAAGTGGCAAAAGACATTAACCTATAAATTTAAGAACCCCCAAACCATATAAACAGAGGGGAAAAAAAAACAGGCAAAAAATCTTAAAAATAAAAAAAGACATGAACCTTAATAAAAGCAATAGAAATATTGACAACTGAAGTCTCAGTGATAAAAAGCAGGAGACAATGTAATAACATCTTTAAAGTACTGAAAGGAAATACCAACCTTGGCTTTTATGCCTTGCAAATATATCCTAAAAATAGTGATGAAATGAAAACATTTCCAGATACACACATATGAAAGCTTAGAGAATTTATCCCTCAGAAATTTGTACTAAAAGAAATTTAAAATGGAGTTCTTCAGTAGAAGGAAAGTTATATACAAGGGAAACACAGACATTGAGGAAGATATAAAAATCATTGAATAAGAAAACTAACTAGACAAAAATAAATGACTAGGGATTGAATGTTAATGATACCATACAATAATATTATGTGGAGTTTAATAGATAAGTAGAAATAAAATGCGTGAAAACTATAAGAAGAAGGGAGTGAGCAAATGGAATTAAATGCTGTAAATTTATAGCATTTTAAGGAAGAGGCAAAATTTCTATTCACAAAAGGCACAATTTAAATATAATACTCATAAAGATTGCAAGAAAAAGGGAAGAAGATATAAGGTACACACACTAAACAAAAAAGCTTGAGTGTGTCAAGAAATTGATCTCAAGGAAAAATCATTATTTGAAATAAAGAGGAAATATCATAATGAATATATCACTTTCCTATATTTCCTATATCACTTTCCTATATTTAAAATGTCTTTTGTAAACCCCATGTAGCTGGATCCTGTTTCTTTAATTCAGTATAACAATTTTTATCTTTTAATTGGACTGTTTATTTACATTTAGTGTAAAATGTTGTTGAAATTATGTATAATATATCATGTTAGTATTTAAAATGCAGGATTATATTACGTCAGTCCCAGAGGAACCAGATAATCCTACTACTGTCTTGCCAAACGGTCTAATCCAAGGTTATTCAACTTGTGCCCATAGGCCACATGTGGCCCAGGACGACTTTGAATGTAGCCCAACACAAATTTGTAAGCTCTCTTAAAATATTATGTGGCTTTTTTAAAAAAACTTTTTCTTCTTTCTTTTCTTTCTTTCTTTCTTCCTTCCTTTCTTTCTTTCATTTTTAGCTCATTAGATATCATTAGTGTTAGTGTATTTCCTATATGGCCCAAGAAAATTATTTTCTTTCAATGTGGCCCAGGGAAGCCAAAAGATTAGACACATCTGGTCTAATCTCAGCACATTGACATCCTTCATTTGGCTCACTTTTGCCTCCAAGTTTTGCAATAGTGCAACAGACTAGCAGAAACTAAGGCACATACAAGCACTCTAGATGCAAAAAGTCTGTAAGAAAAGCAGTCCAGAAAGAGTTCAGATGAATATTGAGTGAACTAACCTATGGGACTGACCAAAAACCAAGTGAGGGGAATGGGAAAATAGGCTATCCAAAAAGAGAGAAAAGCACCTTACAAGATATATTGGCTTACAGCCATGGGAGTAGAACAAAATTTCATGACTTCCTTTCCTTTTTACATTAAGATTTAGAAGCTTGGACTTAGGATATTCACAATGCTTCTCCATAACGTATAATAAAGAGTTTTGGGGAGTGTGTATTTTGGACACCTTGGTCAAGTGACTTATTCTGCTAGGGCTCAGTTTTGTCATCTAAAATTCAGTATAATAATACATTACACAATTCATAGAACTGTTGTAAGCGTTAAATTAAATAAGACAAAGTATAGGCAAGGATGTAGTGTAGACCTGAAACATAGAAGATGTTTAACATGTGTTTCTGATATCTGGCAATGATCATGGCAGTTTGTAGTAAGAACGAGGACTTGGGACAAGCGATATGCTACTTACTTTACTCTCTTCAATTAGGAGTCAATCCTACTAGGTCAATAGCCAAAGGAAATGGTGAGAAGAACTTATGGTGGCACATTCATTCTTGACTCACATGTGAACACAATATAATTTCATGTCTCCTTGATAAAACTACTTTTCTACAGGGAAAAATAAAAGGCAAGTAGAGAGATTGCACAGTATAACATGAGACAGCCGTTACAGAGTCAACAAAAAAATGTCAAGTTAAGTGAGTCACAATTCCTTGAAATTGTATTCCATGCCCACAAATGCAGAAGGTTCCCTCAGGTTGGGTTATTTTTATCTTTTTTAAAAAGTTTCATTGAGGTATAGGTTATATGCAATAAAATAACCAATTTTAAGCATACAATTCAATGAATTTTTATGAATGACTACAATAGTAACCAACATGATATAAAACGGAAAACAATCCTTGTTCCCACAACCCAGACCTTGAGCTGATTTGCTTTTTGTCCATTAGTTTTGCTTTTTCTAGAAAAAGAAATCATACAATATATAGTCTTTGTGGCTGGTATCTTTCATTCAGTAAGGTTTCTCAACTTTCTGTGTTTGTTACAAGTCCCTCTAATTAATCTTTTCCCTAATTGTCTCTCCCCTTTATGAAATGTTGATACCACAGATATATCTATATGTCTATGTACTGTATATTCAACTGTGCTTTATACGGAGTAAGATTTTTTTTCACACCTCAAAATGTTTTGCCCCTTACGAGGCGCTATCGCCCCATTGAGAATACATGATTTAGTGTAATGTTTTTGAGATTCATCAGTATTGTGTGTATCAAGAGTTGGTTCATTTTGTTGCTGGGTAATATTCCATTGTAAGTAGAGACATTCAATAAATGAATAAGAATAACTGCATATGTGTTACAAAGATCAGGGAGTGAGTGCATAATTCAATTATTATTCTTTCTCAAATCTTAGACTCCCTGATGTCAGTAAACATACCTCTAATAACACGATTGTTCAAGTCAGAAATCTGAGAGTATTAAGACAATTCTTTTTTCCTCATTTCCCCATATCAAATCCATTAAAACCTGCCAATTTCATCTCTTGATTATTGCTTGAATCTTGTATCAAGGGATTAGATTTTGCCACTGTAACCCAGAACATTCGACATATAAGGCTATCAATCTTTATCTTAGAAGAGATGGGAAGCCATTGAAGAGATTTAGATAGAAAACCTGCCATGAGCTTCTTTGTGAAATTAGAAGATTATAAAATCTTTTATAGCAAGTAATGAATAAGAATACGGTGAATAAATTAGAAAGGACTGAGAGTATTTGTGGAGAGGATCTCTCAGGAGTCCAGAGGAGAAATGACAATGGCTCTGCCATGAATTTGCAAGACCTTTGAGGGTAAGAGATGGGAGGGTTGCGAGACATGCTACATTTTCAGTGGGGCCCATGGGAAGGCTTAGCAAGACCTCACTGCTGAATGATAACATAACTATAATGAGAAATTCAGATAAACCTTCCTATTGCTTGCTGCTGCCTTGTCTTTGATGATTTTTTTTTTTTTGGCCAAAAATTAATCAGTATTCTAAATGAATTAAGTATGAATATTCTTGGGTCGATTGCTAATAAGTATGAAAGAATTAGAGAATTACAATCATGCCCATAATAAAAAAAAAAGTGTATGCTTCATGCATCCACAGATCTTTCTATCCATCTTACAACTTTTTAAAGGGTTACGGTAGTACTAGTATCCATGTGTCAGCTCCAGATGGTCTGCAATCCTTATGTAAATTGTCTTATCTGCATTCGTGTCTCTGGGGGGCAACTTGAAGATTAAGACTCGATTTTTATTTCTATTAAAGATTAAGAATCAATGGCTTACTGTGTTTTGGGTCTAGGGTATGCAAACATTCATAGGACATCATCTTCATTCTTAAAGCATGTAAAGTTTATATCATGTAAGCAGATAAATGACAAAGCCACATTGTCAGTGCTATAAAGAAGACAGTTACAAAGCTCTGAAAGCTTGTCAGTTTACTCTGGTGTTTTGTCTCCTCCAGGTGACTTCCCAAGTATGGCTGGCCACAATACCTCGAGGAATTCCTCTTGTGATCCTATACTGGCACCCCACTTAATCAGCCTCTACTTCGTAGTGCTCATTGGAGGGCTGGTGGGTGTCATCTCCATTCTGTTCCTGTTGGTGAAAATGAACAGCCGGTCAGTGACTACCATGGCGGTCATTAACTTGGTAGTGATCCATAGCGTTTTTCTTCTGACAGTGCCATTTCGCTTGATCTACCTCATCAAGGAGACTTGGACGTTTGGGCTGCCCTTCTGCAAATTTGTGAGTGCTATGCTACACATCCACATGTATCTCACGTTCCTGTTCTATGTGGTGATCCTGGTCACCAGGTACCTCATCTTCTTCAAGCGCAGAGACAAAGTGGAATTCTACAGAAAACTGCATGCTGTGGCTGCTAGTGCTGGCATGTGGGCCCTGGTGATTGTCATTGTGGTACCCGTGGTTGTCTCCCGGTATGGAAGTCATGAGGAATACAATGAGAAGCACTGTTTTAAATTTCACAAAGAGCTTGCTCACGTGCATGTGAAAGTCATCAATTATATGATAGTCACTTTTGTCATAGCCATTGCTGTGATTCTCTTGGTCTTCCAGATCCTCATCATTATGTTTATGGTGCAGAAGCTACACCACTCCTTACTATCCCACCAGGAGTTCTGGGCTCAACTGAAAAACCTATTTTTTATAGGGATCATCCTTGTTTGTTTCCTTCCCTACCAGTTCTTTAGGATCTATTACTTGAATGTTGTGACACACCCCAATGCCTGTAACAGCAATGTTGCATTTTATAATGAAATCTTCTTGAGTGTAACAGCAATTAGTTGCTATGATTTGCTTCTCTTTGTCTTTGGGGGAAGCCATTGGTTTAAGCAAAAGATAATTGACTTATGGAATTGTGTTTTGTGCCGTTAGCCACAAACTATGTTATTCATATTTGCTTCCTTTATAAAAATGGATATAGAGGAGTTAAGAATGGTATTTCATTACTTGATAAAAAACCATGCTTTGATCTACCCAAAACAAAAGGACTATAAAATGTCAGAACCTCATGTAGTCATTATGAGTGATGCCCATACAAAGAACCAGTGATGTTGAATCTACTTGGAGTTGAATATCACATTATTTTCCAATACAGAATGTCTGTGTGGCCCATCCATCCAGGCGACATAGAAGTTAAGAGTTTTAGAGTTTCATTAGTTCATTCCAATTTCCTCTGTTTGAAGCACGTTTTTTTCTTGGATTTCGGACTGGACTCAGCCCTTTAGTTCTCTTCATCCCACTTCACCTTACGTAAGTAAATCCTGGCCACGACCCAGCTCCGAAGACACAAACTCTCCTTGGTTAACCAGATTTGATATCCCATTCATCTCACATCATGATAAAAACTGATAAGGGGGGGAAATGGTAAAAAAATATTTGTAGGGTATCATAACTCTGGTGGGAAGTCATCTATTTAGAAATTAAGAGAAAAAGAACTCACGGCTTTCTGTTATAACAAGGTTTTTTTATTTGTCCTGTAAAAGATCAACTCCCTCAACATCACCAATTGCATTTTTGCTCCAAAAATAGTTTGAAAGCTTACTGGACGTATCTACATAATGGTGAAACTGTAATTTAGAGAATATTCCTGAACAATGTGCTGGCATGCATTAAAATGAGTTCCCAAGGGAAGTGATTAAAATTTTTTTTCTTCTGTTTTCTGAGAGAGTTTCTAGATGTCCTGGGCCATAGTTAATTAAGATTTTTAGTGGGGACAGAAAGTTATACTGAAATCTTTAGAGCTCCCTTCCACCCTTAAAATTATATGTTTTTAAATAAATGAAAACTTTGTTTTTAAAAGAGGGCTTTTGAGAAGTATATAGAAAACCATTACTTTAGACTCCGTGAGATTAGGTTGCATGAAGATTTCCTGAATATTTGAAGAATGGATAAATAAAATGTACTTGAAAGTAACAAAATTATAATCCTTTAAAATACAGGAGAAATAACAAATGGGTACTAGGTTTAATACTTGGGTGATGAAATAATCTGTACACAAACTCCCATGACACATGTTTATCTAACAAACCTGCACATGTACCCCTGAACTTAAAATAAAAGTTTAATATCATCATAATAAAATAATTTGGATTATTTTCCAAATTCTGGGTTATTTTATGTAAAATTTGATTAATAACATGTGACATGTGGCATGTAGGACATCTATGATGGTTGATACACAGGCTTGTGGGTTTTTGCTTTCTGGGTTTTTTTTCCTCCTGCCCATACTATTATTGCCTTCAATGTTTTATCCTCTAAAAATTTTCCCAGTATCTGATCCAGTTTCATATTTAATGCTTCAGAAAACCTGAAGTAATTAGTAACATGAATAAAATAACTGAATGAATTAGGGATTTTTTTTCATCAAGGTATGTATTTAGAACTTAAAAGTTTTTCTCAATTTATTATCACTCTGTAGATTCACAAATTTCTCAGATGAATAAGAAATATCCCTGTGAATTTCTGTGGTCACTAAAATTACTGAACCATATAAATTAATTCTGAGGAAGCAAGAGTGGCAACACAGTTCAAACATGACTTGTTTCCGTATATTTTCTGTTTTACATATTGTTTCATCTGTCCTTTTTTAAAAAAGCAATATTTCTTTTTTCTTGTCTTTTTACTCACTTATTTTCTACATTTTTTTCTTTCTCATTTTGAACCTTAAAATTTACAAGACAATTACTAAGACCTCTGATAGTTTTTTTCAAGAAAATTTATAATGCCCATAAATATGCTTAAAAAAGAAATTAAAAGTATTTGTGAGAATTTCATTATCTTGTAGATTATATCATAATCTCTTCCAGATTTTAGATATCTTACAGTCAGGCAATTCAAAAGAATAAATCTCTGTATTAACCTGTTATAATATTAATATAACACTAGGTTATTTTCACACATCATAATAAAGGGCTTATTAGAAATGTTACTCAAAATATAGGAATGCAATATTCCATAATAATAAAATATCTTTTTCATAAGTATTTATGGAGTAAATAGAAAAATTTCAGTTTTCTGTTCTTTATCTTTAATCAATACAGAAATGAATCTCATGTGGGACTGGGGGTGACATTGGCCTCTAGGGACATTTTTGGATATCACCATTATAGGAGAGCACTAGGATTAATATTTAGCGGTGGGAGCCAAGAAATAGACATCTTGCCTTGCACATAATTGTCTACACAATAAAGAACTATCAGGCCTTGCTCTGTATTTGAATGCTCTATTAGACATTAATGAAGTGAAACATATGATCATAATAGAGCAGTTATCAGGTTTTATCCAGTTTTCATAAACCCACAGTATTTTTTTTGTAAAGCTTTAATTCTCTGAATTTTCTGGAGATGGAATGATCATGGATTGAAGAAAGATTTTACTCTGGTTTCCTCTGAACTTTACCAGGGGTCATTCAGTCCTTTGGAAATGACTTGATAAGTAGCAATACCATTTATGACATTAACATAAGACACAACATACCTGTAAGCAATATTTGCAGCTACTGCATTCAAGAGATATTACATACAGGTGTATGTAATCAGACTGACTCATTTTGTCTCTTTATGTGATTATGCCTGAGCATTTACACACTGAATTACAAAATATTTTATTATTGATAACTTTTCATTACTCGTTTATATTACAGTGAAAACATTATGCATAAATAATGTGTATGTTTACGTTATTAGTGTAGAAAGCATATACATTTCATTTTGAGATGGTAAAATTATCTGTAAGTTTTATTTTATTTTAGAATGGTAGAAGTATTATCAATATTTGTGATAAAAAGCAAGGTATTGGGTCTGAGAAAGTTGAGAACCACTGAACTACCATGAAGAGACAATATAAGAGGGAAATTTATAAATTTTAACAATATAAACAGGAAAAGTATTTCTGTTTTTGAACTGTCTCATCTTCATTCAATTCTAAATTATTTATTTTGCTTCTACAGCAATTAAATGCAACTTTTAGAAAAATGCGAAGAAAATACACGTATGTATTTTCTTTTTTAATAAGAAAAATGCATTTTTCTATGGCACACCACTCTCCGATTGGCTCTTGGCCAATATCTATCAGATTTTTAACTCAGGCATAATAATTTTTGAGGCCCAGTTAGAAAGATCTCTTCAGGAACCCATTAAAAGGGACATGACTTGGCTTTTGTTTATTTCTTAATTTTCCTGTGAAAGGATCATTGAATCCCCTGCCTTTCTCCTCAACTTCATATAAATTAGATTGAAAAAGATTATTTCACTTGTAGGTGAAGTGAACTTTGTACAAAAGTGATTCAAGAGGTTGTAATAAATCCCTCCTGCTTCCCCAAATCATCCTCAGTGAAGCTGACATTAAAACTCCATTGTTGGGTTGAGATTCAGGTTTTCTGAAGGAGGGTTTTGAGCCAATCCATTCTCAGTCATTGACTTTTGGTGTGATGTTAGAATCTGTGACGCTGTCATAGCTTTGATTGGATAGACTTTGCCCACTTCCCTCTATGAGACATAGGCCAAAGACTCTCACAGCTATTGGGACTGATAGGAACAAGAAAGCTCTTCCTGTTGTAGGGGCCACTACAGCATTTTGCAAATAGTTGGTACTGAAAGCTCCTTGGTAAAGGGGCACAGGGATGGCAGAACTGCTGGGATAATGCCCAGGGATTCCAATATGCCAAGGGACACCCATGGGTATCGGAAACCAGGAGATTCTGAAGACCCAGCAGAAGCTGTTGGGGAAATGAGACCCGGGTAAGAGAACCACTAGCTGAGAGCAGGAGGGTCCTGAGTGAGCCTTGCTCCGGAGTCCTAAGCTAACACGACTGCTCTTGGAAGACAGGACAACTGAGGCAGAAAACAAAGGAGACAGTTGTGAACAGGAGGTAAGAAGGTGCTAGAGAGTATGGTTTGTTTTATTTGCAGTTTGTCCTACTAGTTTATGTCATTAGCAGCAAATGATTCCTGCCCTTTGCTGCTGATCTGGACCTCAGATCTCATGGAGAACAGGGTGTGGTTACAAAGATATAACCACTGGCAACCTGATCAAAGAGTCTGGATAAATATCTCTGGCTTATTGTTAAGTCAAATAAGAAAAGAATCCCTTGGAATTTAGAAAAAATTCGGAAGAGTTTCCCTTTTGTTTTCAGGAAAGCATCATCTTACATGTCAGGAGTGGACACTTGCCAAAGTCCACACCTGCCTTCTGGCACTCTTAGGAGGGTCTGGAAAGACATCTAGGCTTCCTCTCCAGTGATGTTCAATTCTATATAACACAGCACACTTCTTACCACAACCCAGTGGGTACCCCATGCTCTGAGTTGTCCTTTGCCTCTCAGAATTCCATTATTTTCATAGCATTGTGCTTAACAATGGGACACACTACTGACCTGTACACTTAAGAATGGATAAGATGGTTGATTTCATGTCATGCATATTTACCACAATAAATGATTTTTTAAATTAGAAGATAATATATATATATATATATATATATATATATATATATATTATGTTGGAAACTTTAACAGGCAAGAAGTGAGCTGATGGAGAACGTTAAAATATTAGAAAGAAAGGAGCTAGTCTGAGACACAAAAAGACTTCAGTCCTCCTATCAAGGATACCTACTGAGTATAGGGAAAGCAAATGGAAAACACTTCACATCTGGACATATCCTTGGAGAATGCTTTGAATTTTAAGAACAAAGAATTTGTACAACAAAAGCCAGCAAGAGAAATGTTTATCTCTAATAGAAAGGAAAACAATTTGAAAGGTATTAAGTATTTTCCTTCACAGCCTAAATATCAGAAAATGGGAGGCAATGCCTATTTGGTTTAAAATATCATGACTAAGAACTCTATAAGCAGGCAAATTACTGTGCATGCCCCTGGGTACACAAAGAGACTTGAGATGAATTTGCTTCTCCATCTCGAGGTTTATCATCCCAAAGCCGTTGCTTCTCCAACTCCAGGGTC